ACTATACGCACTATACGCACTATACGTAAAGTATCGTATAGTGTCGTATAGTGTTCAACTATACGCTATTTGCCCATATCTAACTATGGGCAATGCCCTGAAGAAACTCTATAGTTGATCCAACGTTAAAGTCATTTAATACTGTTTGAATCCGTATGTCACGATTACGATCTTGCGGTTTTGTGGAGGTTGTGATGTTCCTCGCAAGACCATTTCTATGTCAAGTTCGACTTTACTTTGATTGTCGGTAAAGTGTCCTGTCGGTAAAGTGTCTTGTCGGTAAAGTGTTCCAGACCCATTGATTACTACATCTAAAATAAATTTGTGAATGTCATCCAAATTAATAATAAAATGGGTAAAGTCACTTTTAAATTACTCATATAATCAATGTAGCCAAAGCTTATTGGAATGAGCTCTCGGTTCTATATTTAACATTTTCTTTTTTTGCTACTTAGTCATAAAAAAAGGAATTGGGGAAACAAAAAAAAAGTTCGTTATAACAAGTTTTGCGCTAAAAAGATTCAACCAACCAGCTTTGAATTTTAATTTTAAAATTTTGTTGTACTTACCCATATTATTGAAGCTTGTCTCAATTTAATACATCTATGGATCTCAGAAACTTCTCCAAGGATTCTGTTTATTATTAGATGGATAATTTATTGCTGGTTTTGTCAAATGAATTAATTCAAATTTGCATAAACTGTAAAAATAATAGTAACAAATTTATATTAATGACATTTAGTATATACTATATACAGTCAAATCCGCTGTGGCTGATTGGCATAATAATAACAGATATATGAATAAATTAATAATGCATGGGGAAATTAAAATTATTTGTTGAAATAAAGATGTAATATTTGATTTTATTAGTTTTTCATTATCTAATAATTTCACTATGATTTAAATGCTTTAAATTCTTTATAATTTAATTGATTTTATTATGAATCTTTGGAAAAATGATTTTGTTTTATTGTTTTAATAATTGATAAATAATCTATCAATTGATTTATTTTAGAAACTTGGAAAAGGTTGTTACTTGCGAACATTTGGATAACTATCAATTGTTTGTTTATTGATTTATTTTAGAAAATTGGAGAAGGTTGTTACTTGTAAACATTTGGACAACTATCAATTGTTTGTTTATTGATTTATTTTAGAAACTTGTTACTCGCAAACATTTGGACAAATAATCTATCAATTGTTTGTTTATTAGTTTATTTTAGAAGATTCATCACTCTTAAATCTTTGGATAAAATTTTTTGTTTTACCGCTTTATTTTAATACTGGCCTTTTGTTAAAAATAATCTATTTGATTGTTTGTTTTATTATTTTATTTTAGGAAATTTTTGTTTATTTAGATAAATTTCATGAATTTATGTCACGTGAATCCGGCGTGGTGAGTTCTTTTTTTCCTTTTTCAAATTGTTACTAATATTAATTGTTCTGGTTTTTGTTTCAGAAGTATTCTGAAAAAAGTGTCAAATTGATATATATAATAAGGGTAATTATATTGACACTTTTATTGCCTGCTGATGGTTTCCCCGTGTAACCTCATTTAACCTACTTTTATAATACGACAAACTAGTAGGTAAACATTATTTTAATTTTATTCTGTGATAAAGCTCGTAATCATTTTGATTACTCCATGACATTATGAATCTCATTTAAAGATCTTTTTTTCGAATTATAAGAAAAGATAAATTCAGCATCACCTTCATTATTATCTTTAGTAGAATCACCATTATTGTTCACATTATCATTAATAATGTCGTTATTATTTTTAACCTTAAAATGACTTATTTTAAGTTCAATGTATAATCCACCTCACTTGGCTGTGCAATAACCAATCCAAGGGAATACACGTTTTAATGGATCTTTTGGGTATTTGTGAGTGATCAAATATTTGAACCATTTCCTCATCTGTTAAAAAGGATTGGCTCCAAATCTTTTAGTTCTACCATTCTAGAGTATAAAACATTTCATACAACAACAAATTCAAATCCTTCGTGTATATTAAAAGGTTATTTAAATTTAAACACATCTCGATAAAACTTGTTGATGGCACAAATCCAATTACACAATAATCCGATTTTGTATTCCTTTTCTCTTGTCTTTACCACAACAATAAATTCACACAATAATGCAAACCCTTTTGTTAAAAATGTTAACAAATCAATAGCAGGTTGTGTGTCATTAACGAACTCTTCAAATTTAATATACCATAATCTTGTGTATTTTGTGGTTTTGCTACATTAGCATATTTAATGACTGTATCTTCAGAATGTATTCAAATTTGTCTTTTTCTAACAGAAATAAAAATTATTAATAAAAATATATCATTAAATTTAAATAGTAAAATAACATATACTGTTTGATGAACTTCAAATAGAATTTAAATTGGAATTCTATTAAAAATCAAAAACCTTTTTAAAATATATTTATCAAGATGGAGAGAGAATAACTTCCAAATGCATCAAGTATTCTTTTTAATTCTTGGGTTGCAATTTCGGGATTCATTAACACTGAGGCAGTTATAAAATGAGTATTCTTTTATTATAATTAAAGGCATTAATAAGCACCTTTTAAAGCAAATAAACAAGTAAAATAAAACGAGAGTTTATGAAAGAAATTTTGGAATTGGAATTGTTTTTGGAAAATGACAATTTTTTGTTTATTTTAAGTATAATAAAAATGGACAATTACATAAATGACATATGATAAGTAATTTTTACTCATTCTTATAATTAAATAGCTATATCAATGAATAATAGAAAAATATTCATTTCACATTAGTATTAGAAAATAGTAACAAATCTCAGCATTAAAATAGATTCTTAATTTACCTTTAATTTATATACAGTATAGTTAACAAATTGATAATAAAAAAGTTCCTTCAATTGTTAATATTTCATTCATAAAAACTCCATGACGGTATCAAGAACGTCTGCGCGTATCACGTTAAATGAGATCCGTGTAAGCAAAGCTGTGTGTATCGTTCCGCAGTTTTGAAATTCATTGCGTCAAATTGATTAAATAGATTTTGGTTCATAAAAAAAATTTAAAATGCAAATATTAAAGTTATCTATAAAAATCCCAAATGATGATATTTTTTAAATATCTAATTATTTGCAGAATGAATAACTTGTGTTTATGCGGTTTTGTTTGTGTTGCTTATATAGCTGCAGTATATCATTGAAATACTCATTTTATATTAGAAAATATATTTAGCACTAAAATAAATTATTAATTTACCTTTAACTTTAGTCAATTTATATAATTAACATAATAAATTATTAATGATTCATAACATAGTAATAGTAAATGGAAATAAATTTTGGTTTGTAAAAAAAATAAATATATTATTAGTACTTTTTATTATTCGTATTAGATCCTCACAACTTATATAGGATTGGAAATCATGGTAATAGTAAAAAAGTTGCTTATTTAAAAACAATACACAAGATTTGAGATATTTATATCTCATCCAATTTCAGCCCGTATGAATAATTACTATGATGTTAGACGGCCAAGGAATTTTTAAGGCTAAAAAAAAATTTCTGAAAATTTAGTGCAGAATTCAGTGACATAGGCATTTAGTTGAGATGGATCCATCTGCTCAAAAAAAAAATACAATACATCATAGCAGGATAAAAACCATAAAGTTTCTATTCATAATAAAAATTCTTATTTTAATTCGAATTATTCGTTCTATTCAAATTATTCGTTCTATTCGAGTTATTTGTTCTATTCTAATTATTTGTTTTATTAGACCATTAAAGGCGAAATATTATATATAATAATAATAAATAATAGTAATGATAATTATATTAATAACTATAATAATTGTAATAATAATACCACCATCTGAAAGTTTTTTCATCAACTGGGATTTATTTAAGTTCTTAGTCGGCTAAGGTTTTCATCACTAATAATTACATGAGGTCGAAACGATCGAAATAGTCGAAATTATGTCATATTAATATCACGTGATTTATTTTTTATCTTGAGAACCAGTGGTACAAATTTAATGAAACAACATCAATAAATGGTGAGTTATCGCAAGATATAAGGTAAACCAAAATATCTCAATGATCTGTGTTTGATATGAATTACATATCATTAGATTCACCTCATCGAAAAAATTCGAATGGTAATTGTTTTATCCAAAACAACCGGATATTAACTGAGCTATGACAATTTGAAGCTTTTGATTAATTTTTCTGTAAATTCAGCCTGTTGCATGATGTAATTTTGACCAGTTCGACTTTTGGGTTTTAATTTCGGCTTCATGTATAATAGTTACAACAAAGTTTTAGAAATTAAAACTTCGGCTTTATTACATACAAGTCAAAGCTCGTTAGTTGAATATTTTTACAGTAAATCTTGTTATAACTAACGAACTTTTTTGTTTCCCCGATTCATTTTTTTTATAGTATTTTTATGATGAACTAATTTATTGTTCATCATAGAGAATTCTTGCATTACAATAGAAAAGAAGAAAGTATTACATATAGAAACTGAGGGTTGGGTTCGATTATATGAGCAGTTTAAAATCGATTTATTTAATAATTTGGACAGCATCCACAAATTTATTTTACAATGAACAATTTGTTCTAAATTTATTTAAAATTGACTCAATTTACACATCGTCCATATTAAAGAACATGTATAGGCACAAAAATAAAATATAAACAAGTGCATGGAGTCAAATAGGAATATATATAAAAATGTAAAATATGCCAAAATATGAAAAAATGCAAATTATGTAAAAATGATATCAATCTAGTTTGAAAGTGTATATCTAAATTGTATGCATGAATGTATATGTATGTATATGTGTATATAATGATATACTATCTATTTACACCCATGGCATCTTTTTCTTTTTCTCATCTTGGGTGCACTTTTTTTGTTGGGTGGTAAGATAGAAATGTCCGCGCAATTTAAATAAATCTCTTTTGATAAATGCGGAATCCACCTAAAGCGAAGTGTGCAATGTTCGCAAGTTGTATATTCAGGAAGTTGTACATCGACTTCAAAATTGGCAACTTGATCTGCACAATTTGGCATAATATGAATGTTTTGAAAGGCATTATCTTTTCCGGTTGTTGACAAATCGACAAAACAAGTACCATCCAAAGCTTTCTCAATGCCCCACTCAACCTTTATGATTTGATTAGTAGTATATGTTGTTAAAACTTTTCCAGGACCATCATCGGTTCCACAAGGGTAATGTTTTGCTGGTAAGCTTGCATTCCGGAAGTTATTTCGGATTTCTGGCAATAACATACGACCATCGGCAGCTACATTGATGGTAAGGAAGAATAAGACGGCAACGAGTATTTTCATGGTGGTAAAAAAAAATGATGATGATGATGATTTTGAGGATTTAGGGAAGGATTTGTTTAAAAATGAATGTGTAGATAATACAGACATACTTTAAATAATAATAAATTTGTTTATATAAAATGCAATTATTTGATGAGGAGATAATTTTAATGAAAGTCTTTATATCAAAGTATGTTACAGTATCGGTAAAGTTCTTACTTGATAAATGAAAAGAGTGAATTGGGATGTGGGAAAAAAAGGATATCGTTAGACTTTATATAAAGATACGATTCCTAGAATCGATTAAAACAATTACCAATCAGAAACATTTTTTGTGACAAACAAAGAAAATAAACAGTAAGTAATTTTTAGCAAACAGGCCTAGTGTATGTAAATAAACTTTTGCAGTGCGATGTATCAATCAATGCATACTGAATAAGAACACGATGCCTATATTTTATAAACAGAGTTTAAATGAAGATATTCGTTACACGTACATTATCAATAAATGTAGTTTTGTTTATGGGACAAATAATCCTAATTAAGAAGCAAAACAATTAATTTAACGACTAATTATTTTAGACTAATAAAATTCCTTGATGCAAACAGAAAATGTAAATAAAAGTTCGAATATAGGTTAAAGAAAAGAAACTTTTATTTAATTAATTTAAAAGCCGTGTTGTTGATTTATACTTTTAATTATAAACGAGAAACGAATTCTAGATTTTAAATTTTGGATTTATTAAAAGTGATGAACAGGAAGTAAGTGCATAATCAGATGTTAAATTTAATTAAATTTGATATAAAAGATTGGTTAACTTAATTTTAAGCATTCATGCCACAAACTAAGTCAATGGTTTTTGTGTTTTATAAAATTTTTGTGGTCGCGAAAAACGAATCCCTCAAGTTATTTGATAATAATAATGATTTATCATTTTTTATGAACATTGCTCTAACTAGGAATCATTTTCGGGCCTTTTACAATGACAAAAAATATTTCTGCCGAGAAAAAAACATTATTAATCTTGGCAAATTTCTGGCAAATGAATAATTATTTATTTCTGGCCTTTCTTCCATATTTGGCTATATTACGTACGACCATTACGATTAATGGATCATTTTCATTGGACATATTTGCTAATTATTTCTATACATGTTAATAATCTGCTGTAATTATAATTTCACCAATAATAATACTGCTTTTGTTTATTATAGTAACCCATTAAAGTATTCTTTGAAATGATTCAAAAAACATTATGCTTACATATTAATTGCAATATATTTTTAAAGAAATTTGGTTAATCAACGTGCTAATAATAATAATAAATTTGGGGGATGCCAGAATTCACCGATATGGTTTTAAAAATTACAATATCAGCAAGTTAAAAGTCGACTGCTGTGTAAATTATATGAAAAACAAGGTATCTTAATAAAAAGAAAGGCAATAAAAAGATCCAAAATCTATAGTCACAAAAATGTATTTATCATAAAAAAGGAAATTAAATTAAATGTGGAACATTTAACGATTAAGAGTTTTAACAAATATAATTTGAATGACAAACCAATTTAATGCTGAATGAACGAGCTGAATGGATTTTGACTAAAGATTTTTTGTATGTTATTCTTTTTTAAAAAAAAAGATATTGATGCCATAAAAATAAAAATAAAAATAATAATGAAGCGTCTAACCAAACCTGTAAATTAACTTTGAAAATTTTAGGGAAGGCCTGAGAAATATGTATTTAGTAACGGGTTCTCATTTGCATGTTATACTTAATTTTAATTGTAATTAAAAGTAGTAGAAATAAAATGGCTTATGTTATTAACAAGTTCAAATACTTAGCGAATGTCTAATTAGGTTAACGAATGCCTAAGTTAAACTTGCGGATGACTGTTAAATTGTGAAAGTTTATTTTAAACCACATAACTTCCATAAACGCATAAATATCTGTGCTAAATGCAATAGTATTTATTTTAACTTACTTAAAATCACAAACGTCTAATGTTAATATCTATACTAAATGTCTACGCACATGATTTACTAATAATGGAAAATAATAGTAAAAAAAGCGAAGGTGTTTAATGTAAGCAAATAAATATACAGTATATGTTCTATATTTTGTAAGATTTCACATTTTTATTTATTTCATTTTAGGATTTCCGTCGAGTATAGGTAAATTATTGCTTTAAAAATGACATGGTATATCTT